TGGATCCAAGGTTCCTCGTTGCGCCACGTACCCCCTCCCCTTAAACGCCCCGTTTTGATAAATGAAAATCCCAGGCTTTGCTTCTTCGCTGCATATACCAAGGGTGCATGGGTTCGAGTCTTTGTGTGTACTCTTTTTCTTTTTGATTAATTTGAACTGAATTGAACAAGAGGAACCCAAGCGCCTGGGCCTTAGCATTGGTTGATATCAACACCCCCCCCCCTTGGCCCAATCCAGAATTGAACTAGTTATTTTTGCTATTTGCCACGCTGATTTAATCAATTTCTTGAATTTCTTTTGATTTTCATCATTTCATGTGACTTAGTAAATAATTCATAAAAAATTGAAGACTAACTCAATTAATTCCATTCTTTTTTCCCCTGATTCATGATTGAATCTAGAATTTTGTAGACAAAAAATATTAATAATTCATGCATTTTTATTTTATTTGCATTTGTTGAATTTTAATTGATATTAAGATAACCATGGTTGATACCTTGTTTTGATGACTTTGGTGTGAGCATTTGGTGATGATTCTTGCCTTGATTTTGTGTGTAGCTAGAATAGATATGCATGTTCCCCTTATATTTTTATCACATTTTTTTGATGAATGTAGGTGGTAGTTTTAAGTTGAAACTTTAGGAGCTCCATTTTTAGGGTTTATGGTTAGTACCTTATGATTTAGGTTTTATTTCTAAGACTTGGTGGATGATTCAATCTCTGAATTTTATATGGTGGATTCATGATTGAATTAGGGTCCCTTAGGAATTTTTGTAGGAATTTATAATGTAGGTTACTATTTTAGTTTGATTTTAGTTTAGGTGCTAACTTTAGATGATTCTAATGCACTAATTTGACTAGATTGACTTCTTTAGTTCCCTTAGATTAGGGTTTTGCCTCTCTTGCTCTTGGATGGTGTTGAAGACAAGCTTGGGCTACTATAGAGTGCTTGAAGAAGCTTGGATGTGAAGACTTCCCTTCTTTTGGTGTAGTATTGATTAGGTGTTAAGATTAGGGTTTGTAGGCAGAGCTTATAGATAGATTCTCTTATTTCATAAACATGGAAGGTGTTGATCACTTCCATTCTTCCCTATGATGTAAGGTCCCCTTGTAAAGGCCTCATACCTCCTTTGGTAGGATGTGTGGCTCTTTACAAGTTGGTAGAATCTTTGAGGGTCCCTTTCTCTGATGATAGGATGCTTAGTGGTGACCTTTGGTCTTCACTCTGCTACCAATCATCCAAACCTTGCTCTTGTTAAATGAATCTTTATCCCTTGCTAGAGGATGGAGTTCCTTGTTAGAAGGTTGAAGAGGCTAGAGGTTGCACTTCCCCTTTGTTTGAAGACTGTCATGGAAGCTAAATCTTGAAGAAGATGAAGAATAAGTTGATACTTGTGAGAGGAATCCATCGGAGATTGAATGAAGAAGCTGACGCTTGAGGTTGGAAAGCAAGTTGATACTTGTGAGTTTAATGCACTGAGTCCCTGAAGGAACAAGTTGATACTTGCTATTAAGATTGAGGCCTGAAGGTGGAGTTCACTTGGGAGATGAGGCTTGAAGAAGAAGGATAAGTTGATACTTATGTTGATGTGTTGGAAGCTTGAGGAGGCAGGTTGATATTTGCTATTGGAGGGGAAAGCCCTGAAGAGCTGTTGAAGACTGAGGACTAAGCTGCTATCAGAAGAGCTTTGCTGTGAAGCTGTAGAAGTTGTTGATTTGCTTTCTTTCTTGTCTATTTGCTTTCTGTGCAACTGTATTGCTGTGACTTGTTTGATTTGCTTGATGCATTAGAATAGGTCCATATCTAGACTGATTTAAGCTAGAAGCATGATTGCACTAGAGGTTGAGTTGCTCCCTCTGCTTGTATTTTTACTGAGTGGCTTTGCTTGCGGGTATTTGGTAGAGCCCAGCTCCCTTGCCTATGTGGTCTGTTATTTGCTTGATGGCATTTTATTTCACCTCTTCTGTATGATTGCAGTTATTATATTTTGCTTGATAGCATGTTATTTCCTCTTTATGATTACAGTTATTCATATTTGTCTTGAGGTTGAGACGAGCTTGTGGAGGCTGATGCCCCACACACATTTCCTCCCTCACTTGCATTGCATGCATTTTACAGCTGTTTACTGTTTACTGTTTAAGCTGATGCTTTATCTGTTTCTGTTTATCATTGACATGATCCCCTAGGAATCTCACTTCCTTTGATAAGGAAGTGATGATTAGAACTTTAGGTTGAAACCTATGCATGATAACTTCTAGGAGTTCCCTGTTTCAAACCTCAACCATAGGATGAATCCTTGGCATGAAAACATTAGGACTTGATAGTCTCCCCTTAGTTGAACTTGTTCGTTCTCTCTTCTCATCTCAAAACAAATCAAAATACAGTAATAAAGGTTAACTGACGTCGTACGTTACGAGCCTTAAGCTATCTGAGAAAGGATTGTCGGAGAGTTCTTTTCGACAGCTTGGATGTTTAGTATGGTACCCTTTGGGTGACATGCGACACATTCACTCTCAGGTCATAGTCTCTAGTGCGATATTAGTTGCAAACATCCATAAAAAACAGTTCTTCCGTAAAAGACAGAAAACAAACTTCAAACCTTTTTTGCCCCGTGGGCCCGTAATTCAAAGGAAGCTTTTCTGAAGAAAAAAGTGTCGTTAACTCCCAGTTCTACCGCAAACGATAACGCCTAAGTCTCCAAGGTTCGAGCTGCGTACGCCAAACTGCTGGAACTGTTTGTTAACCCTACTCGAAAAAACAGATGAATCTGAATCCCCGTAATCCGTATTATCCCGAACTACGTAAGCTCTGATCTCTCATACCTGTTGAGAGTATGTAGGCACAATACTGATGTATTGGCGAGCCACCTTCCCCGTAACCCGTAGTTAGCCGAACTACGTTGACTCTGATTTCTCATTCTTTGATGAGAATACGTAGGCATAAAGCTCGACGCTTTGCCGAGTCATTTTCTTTTCTTTTTAAGCCAGCCTTGATAGGTAGATAGATAAAACCAACCCGTCAGATAAACACAACAAGCATGGATCCCATCGAGTACGATGGACGTGAGGGGTGCTAATACCTTCCCCTTGCGTAACCGATTCCCGAACCCAGACATTAGTTGCGATGACCTTGTCTTATACCTTTTCGTCAGGTTTTTCCGATCGTTTCCTTTCCCGTTTTGAGGGATAAATAACGAAAGGTGGCGACTCTTCTGTTTTGTCGGCACCTTATTTTCGCGGTAGCGACACTTTATTACGTGAATGAAATCGACTTATATACTAAATACAATAATAACCATCAATAATAGTTACTCTCTAGGATTTCACACGTATCCTACTATGTGGGCTCTTATCTTCTGATATACTTCCACATGTCTTTGGTCTCTAAAGTGTCTATAAACTGCTTTTATTATTGAAATTGTCTTTACAAACTCTAACTACCCCTGACGAAGAACTTCTTAGTTGAATCTTGTAGCGTGGTGCCATAATGTCTCTAAGTAACCTGCTCCTTGGACTCAAGAATATACTAAGTTTAAAACACCTAATAAACGAGTCGAACTCGGCAACTATATACCATACTTTCATGTCAAAATGATACACATTGCAAACTTTTTCGAGATTCTGAACATGTTTTGAAAAGAGGGTGATCCTAATTTTGTGGATTTGTTATTGAGATTCTTCTAAATCAGGTTTAGTGGGTTTAGGTGCGATTTGAGTCAAAAATCACAGGCTAACAGAGTGTTATTTACTTGACAAATAATTAAGTGTATCACGCCAGAACCAAACATATTTATGTGAAATTTCATAAAATAAAAAAGTTACTTGCATTTAAACAAATATTACTTGAAAATATTCGTACTTCAAATAATACAATTAATATATTAACCAAATTAGTCATCAGTAACGAGTTCAAAGACATATATGTTGACCAAACAAACTTAGTACCTCTCAATTGTTAGGATGTGGATGTCATGTATGATACTCCCTCCGTTCCAAATTATAAAACGTTTTGGATATTTCATGCGAATTAAGAAACTTAATTATTATTATTTTATGAAAATGAAAAATTATGTATGATTTTCCTGTGATGTCCTTTATAATTACATGAGAGAAATAAAAAAAAGTTGAAAGAATAAATAATAATAAATATTTGAGAGTATGTTGGAAAAATATCATTAATATTATATTGAGAATATAAAATAATTTATAATTTAAGACAAATTTTTTTAATAAAATAACTTATAATTTAGGAGAGAGAAAATATATCATAAGAGCCTGATATTCGAAGGGATAGAGCCGAATACTTCATCTGCCAATTTCCCTTGTATTTGACCCAAACATATGTTACACTCAATTGATTGATAGGGAGAAGATTGAGTGTGCTAGTTGTGATAATCCTCCACTGTACAATTTAAAAGTATTATTGTAATATGAATTATTGGTAATACCAAAACCACAATTCATTCAAATTTTTTTAATCAATTGTTCTTTAATCAAATTGCGTAAACAAATATTTGCCATTTACGTTTTTTATTTATTCTCTGGTTATTAGTGGCTGTTCTAACAAATACTATTTTTCTTTTCATTTTATATTTTCAAAATTAAATTAAAAACTTGATAATTATCCATAGGTTATTAATAAAATTATAAAGAAAATAATAATTCTTAAGATTTTAGATTTTAAATGTTGATTATAAACGTTAGAAATTTAATTTTTTACAGAATAACTTTCATTTAATTTGAGAGCTCGCATAGTAACGAGAATTGCACTATAAAAAGTGGTAAAGGCTAACGAGGTAGCTCAAATTAATTGAAACCCATTTGACAAAAAATTACAATTTCTTGTAAAACTACACGTTTGTTATACACTTTGAGCATCTGATCAAGATGTGATCAAAATTTTCCCCTGATTATTCATCTGATCTGATTGACCATAAATTACATCATGGGCTGATAATCATCCTGTATAAAACAGAATCTGAATTACAGGCACCAATTATCTAATCATCCTGTTCTTCCTGTTGATCATGATCCCTTATCCACTTCGTAGCCACCCACTTCTGCCCCTTTATCACAGGGCAGCTCCCATGCAGTGATGTCTGTCAAAAGAAAGAATGCCAACAATAAGTCATATCCTACAACCCACAAGTGGGTTTGCATTAGCACAAGTCTATCACAGTAACCAACATAACATAATCACCCTCTATTCAGTAAACACTCATTTCTGCACGGATTAAGATCTTTTAGTCTAGAGTTCAAAGTGACAGTTCTTGATCTCATCTTTCACTTAATTTAAAGTATGGTTAAGAAACAATTGTATTGGTGAGAGTAGAATTGATACAAAATGATAAAGGATTATGTAAAATAAGTCAATTCTATGACTAATACACAAAGTCTAACTAATCTTATAAATTAACCAGCCAACAAGTAATGCTAACTAACTATATTCTCAAGAGTAGTACAAAGAACAGACTTTAATGGAAAATATAGATGCATGTTAAGAAACATGACATTCATAAAAATGAGAGAAATGTAAGAATCAATTGTATTGATGAGAGTAGAAGTGATACAAAATGATGAAGATTGTAAAAAATGAATCAACTCTATGACTTACACACTAACTAATCTTATAAATTAACCAACCAACAAGTAATCCTACTAAATACTAACTATAATCTCAAAAGTCACTCCAAAAGAATCAAGAAACTTCACTCTTAAAAGTAACTAACCAAATACCAATAGGAGACAACAAAATCTTAACCATCAAGTAGAAACCATAACTCAAGTTTCAACCATTTGGAAGAAGTAACAATTCAACACGTAACCATCAAGCAGAAGCCACAACTCATGGCTTAACAACTTGGAGGAAACAACAATGCTTAACCACCGTAGCACAAAAGCTAACATCAACAAATCCATAAGGCAAAAGGTGAACCATAAAAAAACACTCAAACACTTGACCATTTATGAAAGAAGCATCATGTATATCCATCATAAACAAAATCTAAAATCAAGCTAACAAGGCTAATCAAAATAAAGTTCTAATATTTTTAGTTTATTATATGTTTCACTTTCACTTATATAAGTGGATGGTCATACTAGGGTTGAAAAAAGATAAAATTATGGTGAGGAGAGCAACCACCAAAGAGAGAAAAGAAGAATGAAAGCAATTTCTGTTTTTTCGAACGGCAGGTTCAAGGCATGTGGTTCCTTGTTTTAAACGGTTGAATTGGAAAAACATTTATGGAGTGAGTGGCTGGATGCTGGCATGGTTTGTGCTTTGTATTGAGACTCTTGTATCTTTATAAGATTATAGTGGAAATATTTCTTGGGTTTTGACGAACCACGGGTTTTACCCATATTTTGAAGGGATTTTTACATTAAAATTTTGGTGTCCCTCGTGCATTTAGCTTTAATTTGTTCTGTTTCCTGACATATATTTTTTGTTCTTTCTCACAGATTCTTGCAAGTTGGAGAAATTTTATTCCGCTGCATATTACTTTATTGTTGTGTTTATGTGTTAATTCTCCATCATCAAGTTCATTTTTTACTTTAATTTATGATAATTTTTAACAATGTACTTAATTGTTTTAAGCAAGGATATGGTCTGCAGTTTTAGATGATCTCAATCTGTTTTGGCACAGCTCATCCAAAAGACCTTGTTAGTATGCATTTTTTTGTCTTAACCATCTGATTTCTTGGAAAAACATACCGAAGTAAACCAAAATTTGATCAAGGAACAAGTGAAGTCTCAATCTACTCCCTAAAGCGTGGAGTTTACCAGAAGGATTTTTTAAGTTAAGTCTCAATCCGCTAAATTTACCGAACACTACAAATCCATTCTGCTAGTTTATTTGCTGTAAACTATCAACTATCTTATAAGCTATCAGCTATAAGCTCATCCACGGTCCACTATAAGCTAGTTTATCAATTATTCACTATTTTTTACCAAACAGAATGTTAATTAGTGGATAAAAATGAGTTGAATCATGAATGTGATAATTAATCAATGTCCGTGCAAGCTTGAACATATTAGAAAAAACCCTTATAAAATTTGACTTCATCTTTGCTGGTGAACCACGCAGAGACACGTGATGAGTTTAGAATTAATCTTTGAGATGGAAAAGATGGCACTCTTCACATTTTGGGGATGATAATTTATCCTACACACACAGGGATTCTCCTATAAAGTACTCCTCACTTTTAGAGAATAAAATTTAATAGTTGAGACTTCAACTTGTGTGCATAATTCTGTTGTTGAATCAATGATTATGACTCAGCAATTTAGAGGAAAGCAAACAAATGATTCTCATAATAATGAGAACACTAACCTGATCGATTGTGCCGTTGGGGAGCAGTGAATAAAATAAAAGCCCATCTCCCTGTCTTGGCTTTACTTTTAAACCAATGCAGTCTTCGTAGCCATAGCTACCATCCATGTTCAAGCCATTCTGCAGAACAATATTATGCTAACTATGAAGCCCAGATACTTGACATGGATATGAGGATATATGAAATTCATAAAAACTACAGACAGGATGATGCCTAAAAATGTTCACACAAATTTACAAAAAAATAAATAATAATACACAAATACATAATGTAAAGAGACATTACATTTATCATAAATATATAACCATATATGTAGAAGATGATTACAAATTACAAAAATATACTTGTTATCATGACACACACACACACACACACACACTACTAGATATTCTTCTTAAAACTTACTATTTTCCATGTAAAATATATTACTTTTGGTCAATGTCTAAAACAGGCAGCTCGGTTGGAAAACTGAGAGACACTGAAAATGTAATCCAGAAGCCTAACAGTTCAAACACTAAAATATCAATCTAACCCACAAATTTATTAACATTTGCCTATCAATACATTCTCTTACATTAATTTAATTTTTTTCTTTAACCAATGGCAAGATATTGGGGGATAATCATTGCAGACATACATAGGAGTATCACATAATGTTTAGGATCAGGTACAGTTACCACAATAATACTTGAGCAACTTCAGGTATCTAGTCTTAACAGTGCGTTAACCATGGAGGAAATCAATGAAATTGGGGAGTGGATCAAACAAGATACAACAATAAACTTGATATTACCTCAAACGGAAACATAGTTTCGCCACCATCCTGAACATCAGTCAAATACAGCAAAAAAGAAGCCATCTGCATTCTCAATCAAAATCTGAAGTTAAGAAAAGAGCTTGTATGTAAGTGATTCTGTGCTCGTATAGAACCCTACAGTATAACGATACAGGTTTATATCAACTGCAACAAAATCAAACAATTGTTAATTTTGCTTAAAAATATGCTCTGCTTCACTCAACAATTGCTTATATTTCATCCAAGCCCTATCATGTAACCTCTCGATGAATATCAACTAGTAAAATGACAATCCTAAACACTAGACTCCATCTTTGTTACAAATAATCATAAATTTCATCACTAAAATAACATGCAAACCAGAACACGGGTTTTAGTTCAGACGTACCCTTTGACTCTTTTGTGGGCCATATTCGGTAGGATTGAATGCATCATAATGTGAATTATATCTTTGACCAATCTCATAGCGTAGGATATTAAATGCCTGAAACATGGTGAATCTTCAGACAATTTTAAATCACCCTGAAAATGAGAGGATTAAAAATTCAACAAAATCATAAAGCACCTCTGTTGCTAATAAATTCAGGGAACCTAATATTTTAGTAGTTTAAGCTTACAAAACAATGGTCTTAGATGTCATTAGAGTTGTTTTCCCCTTTCTTTTTGTTTAAAAATACATGCAGTTAATTAAAGATGAAGACGACAGCTCCAAACAATACTTTTAGCCTAGATAAAAGTCTAGATTACGCTTTAAGGGAAACTCTGTGCCTAAAACCCCTTCCATAACATGCAAAGATCTATTTGGTGAGATGTAAATACATGCATGCGTAAAAAAAATTATGACGATGGTGTGAAAAAATTAAATTGTTTTTTTAATTAATTAACAAACAAATATTTCTGTGCAGGACTAATGTGGCTTTGATTCCCATTAGGATGCATGAAACCAGCTAAAATTAAATTCTTACATGTTTTTCATTTTATAGAAAAGTGTAAGTATTTTAAGGTTGCTTATTTTGCATAATAGCTTCCACTAACCGCTTTACCATGTAAGTAATAAGAAAGCTAGAGGATCAAGTTCCTGCCCTGGTCTCTAGATAATTAGTCTCTTGACTCTAGTCGTAGTTTTCGTTGACAATATTTTTTAGTTTTAAAATTTTAAATTTTCTTAGGTTAATTTTTTTTTGTTGATAACTCTAAAGAGAAAACAATGACTTCATAACAGCTTTTATCATTGATATAAATTCAAACAATAAACTAATGTAGTAAAACATAAGAGAAATATCATGAGCACATTAGATTGTCAAGGTCATACAAAATGCCTTTTCTGCAGAGAGGGCGAGCTGAACAAGGATGTTACCTCTCCATGACTCCTAGGAATCATTGTCGCTCTCGCAATTTTCTCCTCAATGACATCTAAAGTCCCTGTTTTATCTTCAGAAGCACTAAGAAACACACCAGAGCTGTTTAAACAAAAGATAATACAAAGTTAATATGAAATTAAGGAGGCAACATATTGTCCAACTTTTTTGGGCGGTATAGCATATCGCCCAATTTAGGCAAGCTGTACCGAGGAATCAAATTGATTGCTCCTTAATTTCTGAGATGCTGAAAATCTCTGTCAGATTCATTATAGTACCAACAGAAATTCTGAAATGTATCATATATTTTAGACAAGCTAAGAATCTTTCAACTTGGTTAGCCTATAATGATACCTCATGTTTTATATAAGTTTGCTACCTTGTCATTCCAAATTCAAATAGGAAATTCTTACCTGTAACTTTTAACTTGAACAATTTGTACAGACTATTTTGTTAAGTTTGTGATAAAGAAATGAAGTTAACCATTTGATTATGCTGGGTATGCTAACTACTTCACGTATTACAGTTCATAACTTACTTACACAATACCTTGTTCTAATTCCCTTAGTATTCTCCGCAGTTTCTCCCTTGCGCAAAGCTAATGATGATGGTTTGAGGCCTACCTTTGCTGCAGCAACTATGGTTTCACATTGCTCCGCAGTTGCAAAATTAGGAAAATAAAGAGCTCGCGGCTTCCAGCTCAAAACCTAAAAGACGGCCAACAGATATTGTTTAACTGAAAGTCCAAGCACAATAACCAATTCCATATAAATACAATTTAGGACTATGAAAATGTTTCCACCACTTCATCATTGATCAGAGATAATTTAAAGTCAAATCTCATTACAATGAATGCATAACACTGATATCTAATTAAATAACAAAGGCAAATACTAACAAGTACAAGACACTTGTTAAGAAACCAAATATAGAAATATTGTACTAAAAGTGGTTTTTTCAATTCATTGAATTTTATTTTTTTTAAAAACTCAATACAGAACTTCTACTTCTTTTTTCTTTAACAAGTGACTTAAGGCCTCATGTGAATTAGCAAGAGCAAATAATTTTTTTCAGGTTTCCACTAATTCAAATTAACATCTACTAATTCATAATTAACCCAAACTCATTCATAACAACGACTCTACTACCCACCCAACTTCATAAATATTGCAATATTCCAAACATAAAATATAAAAGGAAACTTCACCATTGCTAAATATGGAAGAAACTTCACCTACTCAGCCAAAACTGCAAGTCAACGCAATCTAAACCATAAATCTAAACATAAATCGTTTCAATCTAATCTAATTTTAACTAAACCATCAACATTCATAGTCACAACAACTGAAGCATCAGAAGAAACAAAACCGCAAACCTGAAAAGGAATCGATGTGATGGAATCATCACCAAACTCTCCGGCAGTCATCAAATTGTACTTCGTCTCCTTCGCCGATTCAAGCAGCATCTTTCTCGGCCGCAAGCCATATCCATCACCATCCTATAAAAACACAGCGAACACTGATCGATTCAAAAAATGCTCAAAATTCGGAAGAACGCGATTAGGAGTTTTAGAAAGAAGACCTGAGAGTGAGAGAAGAGAGTAGAACCGAAGAATCCAGCAAGGAAGAAGAAGATGCATATGAGAAAAACGTAGGGGAAAGTGAGCTTGTTCGTTCTGAAGCTCCAATTTCCTTTAACCGTTTTTGCTTTCATTTGGATTTTGGATTGAAGAAAACTTTGGTTCAGTCTTGAATGTGTAAGCTCTAACTAAACTACCTAAACATTCATTGAACTACTCGGTTTCTATTTTCTATTTTTTATGTTTTATTTAATAAAAATACATGTACTATAAATTTGTCAACTAAACTAAACTAATTAAATATAATTTATTTTGATGGAATAATTTTTTTTGTAATATTGATGGATAAAACTTAAAAGCTTATAATTTGTAAGTATTAAAAATATTTAATCTTGAAAATAATATTTAATGATTTTTTTTTGTTAACGTGAAAATATGTTAAGGGTTTTTTGAAAGTTTGGAGGGGAAAGATGAAGACTTCTCCTCAACATTCATTGAACTATTTCAATTTTTATTTTTGATTTTTGATTTAATGAAAATACATTTTACTATAAATTTCTCAACTAAATTAAACTACTGGATGCATTAATTTTAATTATGAAATTAATAGATAAAATTTAAAAGCTTGTAATTTGGAGATATTAAAAATATTTAATCTTAAAATTAATATTTAATATTTTTTTTATTATCGTATAAGTATGTTAAGGGTATGTTTGAGAGTTTGCAAGGAGAAGAATTGAAGACTTTCAAAATAGGAATGATTTGGTGAAAAGAACACAAAGATTTTGGTTAAAAAGCTTTTGGAGGGTTTAGTTTTATTTAGGCAAAAATATTGTCAAGGTTTTTTAAGTTATTTTAAAATATCAAATTAGTCCTTTAATTTTTTTGTAACTGTTGCACCCCAAAATTTGACCAACCAATTTTTGCATTTGGCTTATGTTTCGATTCATTTTACATTTTGCATCCGCCTATCGCATTCTGCGCATTTCGTTAGTTAGTCTGACTTTATCGGGATTACAACCCTCTTCTCACGTTTCAGGCATCTCAAACCGTTTCGAGTACAGAGATTTATTTTGGGAGCGGTGCTCTTCCCGGTGTTTTCAGCGTTTGCTGTTGTTTTTAGGATATTTCGGTGTCCGATTTTTACCGTTTATTTCGCTATATTCTCGCATTCTTTTTTAATTGATTTAATTGTTTTTCATTGCATTTCCTAAACTGTTTTCCTTAATTTCTGACTTTAAAAAATAGATTTTAAATAGGTTAATTGTTTTTCTAGAATATTAAATAAATTTTTTAATATAGTTTTTAGAAGTTAATTGTTTTTCCTAGAATAATTTTTAGGATTTTATTTCTATATATTAATAGTTTTTTTCTAGTTTGATAGGTTTAATTTTTTTTTAATTCAATTTAGTTTAGAAATTAATAGGTTTATTTCTTTTCTAGACTTAATTCTCTTTTAGAATAATAGTTTTGTTTTAGAATCAATAGATGTTAATTCTTTTTTTAGAATAATTGATGTGTTTTAGAATTTTCTAGATTTTAAATTCTTTTCTAGATTTAATTTCTTTTAGAAATTAATAGGTTTATTTTCTAGATTTTAAATTCTTTTTTAGATTTAATTTGGTTTAGGAATTGATAGATTTTATTCTTTTCCCGATATTATTTGATTTGTTTTAGAAATTAATAGTTTTAATTCTTGTTTTGGTATTAATTGAATTGTTTTAGAATTTAATAGATTTAATTTCTTTTTAGAATTAATTCTTAGGTGTTAATTGGATTTTAATCAAATTAATTAGGATTAATTAGCTTTGATTAGCTTAGTCAGATTTTAATCATTTTCATTTTAGCATTAATTCATTCTTTAGCTATTAACCGAGTTAATTAGCTTAATCATCATCATTAATTGAATTTAATTTTAGTCAATTAAGTCTTTAATTGAATCAGCCTTTGTGGGCCAGGTGTCCAAGTCCCAAGCCCATTATTGCAAGTCCAATTGCAGGCCACATGTCGCTATAAAGGTAAGCCACACGTCCCTCTCTCTCTGCCACCTCACTACCTGCATGAGCGCCACCTCACTCTTCCACGCGTCCTTCTCACTGCCACACGCTGACACCACACACCTTCACGCTGCCACGCGTCTCGCACCTTACTCTCCCTCTCTGCATGGCTTCCACGTGTCTCCCACCTCATCCCTCACCGCCGGAGTACATGCAAACCGCCGGAAAACACAACGGCAAAATCATTCACGGCCAAATCTCACCGCAACTGTCGCCGGAACTTCCATAACTGTCATCGGAAAATTCATCTGGATTCATCAACCTTCATCCCAGTTTTCTAGATTTTCCCCAGATCTTCAACAAACTTTAACAACCTCCAACAACTTTTTTCCGGCGACTTCAAGATTCCGTCATCGCTTCATCATTCGTTCATCACCATAACCGTTCTGTCTTCATCATCCTCAAGAACCAGATTCATCAAAAACTTCACGATCTCCACCATTCATTCATCAAAACTTCTTCATGAACGTTCATCAGTTCATCACCACGATCGTCAACCTCCATCAAATTCTTTCAAAGATCTTCACCAATGCCATAACTCCGTTTCCAGATCTTTGATCCAAGTTTATCAACCTTCAAGAAACTCCACCGTGTTCATCCGTTCTTCCAAAATCCGTCCAGATCTTCAAGATCTCCCCGGAAGTTCAACAGAAATTCATCCAGATCTGGATCCAACTTCGTATCTCCATCCTTTTTCAGGTCCATCTTAACTTCACGAATCATTCATCAGATCTTCGTTGAGATCTTCGTTGAATCTTCGAACGAGCTCCTTTGCATCCAACATGCCTCTCCAGATCATCATTCCTTCAGTCATCTTCGTAAGAGTTTCTTCGGATCTTCAACGAATACATCTGTTTGTTTGAACTAGAGGAAAGGTTGAACGGAGGAAGTTGAAGAATGAAGGCGTGAGGACTGGGGAGTGGGATTTGTGAGTTTGATTTGAGAGTTTAGGGAGAAAGAAGCAAGGAAGTTGGGATCGAAGAGGCGGAGGTTGAGACGGCGAGGAAAAGATGGTCAGCGGCGGCAAGATTGAAGAAGAAGGTTCTAGGGTTTTTTGGCCAGAGAGAAGTGAGAGAGGCGAGGAGGTCTTGGTGGTTCGTGGGCCTTAGGGCCCAATTTCAGTTTTTGGACCTTACACCCTTCATTTTCCTTGGACACCCCCTCTCCTTGCTGTTTTTTGTCACGGATGGGCTTAGGGTCCAACAACAATGTTTTTTCCTGACTGCACCTCCGTTTTTTCCATACGCGCCCCGCTTTATTTATTTTTTTGTTGTGTTTGGCTGTTGTATTGTGGGCTGGGCCCAATTGTGTTTTTTTTCAGGCTACACCCCTATTCAGGTTGTACCCCCTTCCCTTTATTTTCTAATTTTTTGCTTGTATTGGATATTTGCTTGTAATAGCTTGTAGTTTTATTTTCTGTTTTCTTTTAGGGATTATAATTTATTTTTCTTAGAATATTATTACATATTACGTATATAGATTTTATATTCTAGAATTTATAATTCTTTTCTATTTTTCTTTTAGTATAGAGTTTATATAGATTTTACATTCAACTTTCTTTATAGAAAATTATAGAATATTGTGCATAGGATAGAATTTCCATTTTTTTCCCTATGCAATTTCCTTATAATTTCTTTAGAAAGTTTTCTATAGGAATTTATTTTCAATTTTAGGAGTAGAATGTTATTTCCGTTTGTTATTGGATTTCTCTCCTCATTTCCCTTCTTTCATCTGATTTTTACTTTGATTTTATTCTGTGTTGGCCGTGTGACATGATTCAATTGGAGAATGATTTTCGATATCATTTCTCTATCTTGTCTTTGACACGGATATCAATACGCTGCCTCTTAGAGTTTGATTTATCGTATAAGTCAAATCATGACGGTTTAGCGTTACATTGGTTCTGATTCGAAACATCATCATCAAGGATCCAGAGAGGAGAAGATTGGAATGGAGCTTGCGCACATGTCGAGGGCCAACGGAGCCGCTTCGGTCGATAACATATTTCTTATTCAAGTTTTTGTGCAACCGTCGAGCGTTGTGAGCTGTAGCGTTAGATACGTAGGAAATGGTGGTTGAGGGGTTTCCTCTCAATCGTCTAGAGTATCTAGTGTAGCACCCTTTGGGTGATATACGACGCACTCGCTCCTACGCCTTAGGTTCTTGCGTGTGTATCCCGAGTTCCTTCTCGTTTAGGCGTGTTAGGCCTGCTTCCTCTTTGTTCTCGCCCCGCGCGATCAAAACTCTCTTCTCTCGCATTCAGGCGATTGAGACCCCTTCTCTTGCCCCTGTGCAATCGAGACTTGTTTTCTGTAGTTCGCCGAACTACGTTTGCTCTGATCTCTTGTACCAGACGAGAGTACGTAGGCAGAGGATTGCGATGATCCTAGCGAGCTCCCTTTTTCCCTTTTCCTATAGTTAGCCAAACTACAGCCGCTCTGATTTCTCGTACCAGACGAGAATATGTAGGCATATGATGCGATATCCTAGCGAGCACACTAACAACTAACTTCTCGGTTCTCTCGCTGCCGTGTGATCGAGACTTTCCCGCTAACGACTAATCTTCCCTTTCTCTTGCCCGAGCGCAATTGAGACCAGACCGTAGTTCTAGAACCCGTAGGTTCCCATACCTTTAAACCAACGACATACTACGTTCGTTCTACCGCAAACAGGTAACGCCTAAGTCTCTGACTAGCGAGCAACATACACCTAACTACTAGAATGCGTACGCTAGTATCGTCAATCCTTTCTCTTACACCTGTATGATCGAGAACACCCTGGTTACCCGTAGTTAGCCCGAACTATGTTTGCTCTGATCTTTTACGTTGTGTGAAAGTACGTAGGCACGAGATACGATATCTCGGCGAGCAATCTCCCCCCGTAGTTTCCCGAACTACGTTGACTCTGACTTTCCCATTGCACGAGAGAATACGTAGGCATAGAGCGCGATGCTCTATCGAGTCAGTTTCTTTCCGTTTAGATTTAGAAGTCGTAGATAGATTGTTTTTCACCCGTTAGACAAACCAACGAGCATGGATCACATCGAGTACGATGGACGTGAGGGGTGCTAATACCTT